GAAAACTACAACACCTATTAATTTGGCATTTAATCTCCTTCAAAGTAGTCCCTTTCTGAAGCAACACACTTTATCCAGTATCGTTTCCACTTATGGAAACATTCCTGAAAATCCTATTTGGGATAGCAAGCAGCTGCCTGATGACATTCTCTTGGATTTCATCAACATCTTAAAAATTTTCTTTTAAGTGAGATTTGATTTTTGAAGAAGAAAGAGTCACAAGGGGTGAAATATAGGGAATATGGGACTTGTCACACATGTGGAATATTGTGCTTGGCAAAAAACTGCCGCACAAGCCATGGTCACTGATGGAACCTCTGTAGTGTGATGAAATGACCACGCTCTACACACTTTCCTTCCAAGCACTGCTATAAACAACAAAAGTGAGCAAGAATGTTATAACTTAGTGTGTATGTGCAACAGAGCTCAATGTCAGTCTGTGCCAAGTGGCTTCACTCTGCATACTTTAGCTCTGTTACCATAGCAATAGTCCTGATACTTTTTTTATCAGACTTCATATATTGTCTCTGGCCGCTACAAATAATAATATTACAAGATTAACTTTTAGTTAATATTGATCATAATAGTAATATGTTCTACTACAGGTTAACCATCATTCATCTAGATCATTGGGATCTGCAGGGTGCTGGATAAGTGATTTTGCCAGATCACTGATGGTTATCTTAGAATGTATTTAACCAACAACTAACCATTTTATCTTACTTTTTAAAATGTTCTGTAAATTAATAAATGTTGACTTAGAAAGGAAAATGAAAAATGAAATGAAAATTACGTTATAGACAAGATGTAGTATTTATGCTTCACACCTTTTGAAAAGTATTTCCTGTATTCACTGGCACGATAACTGAGGCTAAACATTGGCAGGTTATAATAAAATGTACAAAACATGTACAAATGCCTTACTAAATATTACTAAACATTAGTAGCAGGTTTGTGTGGTGATCTGGGAAATTTGAGATTGCTCTTGTGGAAGTTAGTGTTGAATTACTGACTACTGGATTGTTAATGGTTAACCTTTATATAAGAATATGATTTAAAGTGTTTACATTCTTGGAAATACTTTTATGAACATCAGCCAGGCATTAGTTTGCAAATGATTAATTTAAACACAAAAAAGCAGGAACTAGATTGATATAAACTTATGAAAAATACCTTAGGGATAATAACTATTGTTGCATTCTGTGCCATCACTGGCTTCACCCCTTCACACCCAATACCACTTCATAGACTGTATCAACGAAAGATTTTTTTTTCTTATACAAGAGTAACAAACATGGTATCAGGAGAAAGATCAGGGGAATGCATGCCCATTTGTTGGCTTAGCATTCTGCCCTGTGTGGGTTAGCCTCTCTAAGGAATCCCGTTGCAGAAAGCATGTTAATGCTTCATAATTCTTGCAGCTCTCTGCCGACTTTGTGCCATTTTGGTCTTATATCCAAAACTTAGAGTGAGGTAATTCCATGCAACCAATACTGCTTTCAGTTGAAATTTAGAAAATCTTTCTCTTAAAACACTTTAGAAAAAAAGGTTTCTCAAGTCTAGTAGCTGCTATTGCTCTTTCTAGTATTGATGGTATTTTCCTTCCATCACCATCCTGGCCCATCCTCAGCATTCTGTAACATCATTAATAATGTTTTATGTTTTTCTATTTGTATCTTAGGTTTCATAAAACCAGTATTTTCTTGGCTGTATATTTTTGGTTTTATAACATTGAAATATACCAGATGTCAAAAATTTAAATTTACTAGAGTTTTTTGCAACATGTTGATGTGTGTTAAAATCCTCACAGTATTTAGTATTGTTGAAGTTATTGCTAACATTTTCTGTTGAGATTTACAAAGTATGTTTCATTCAATTTCACAAACCAATCAATGAAATTGGAATAAGCTAATTTTTTTGGAAAATATTTTGACAAAAACCCTACTTCACAGCTTAGTAATTTCTTTAAATTTAATTTTATAGGACTTCATGGTAAACAATATTTTTTTTTTTAATTTCTTTTTTTTTTTTACTTTTTAACAGTGAAGAATAAATTCTTAGGATTTCTTACTCTTCAGAATGCAACATACAACTGGCCATGTTTAAACATTTCTTTCAGGAGCCAAATTCCAACTTTTTGAAACATTTGGCCTTGTACTTTTTTTTGCAATTTGCACAAACACAGGGTAAATTGGAAACTGGATTCTTCTATATATAAAAACTTATATTTTAAAAAAAAAAAATATATATATATTTTTTAAAATAATAAAACTTTTAATTTTTCAAAAAAAATTAATGAAAATTTACTGTACTAAGCTATGCACCCTAGTAAAACCACTTCCTTTGTACCTCCTTACCTGTTTGCACTTATCCCCAAAATTGGGTTTTGATAAGTTAATGTATGGCTGTTTTAGAGGATGTGATAGACAGAAGTCACAGAATTTTATATATAGAAGACCAAATGTCCCTGTAGCTTTGTTTTTTTTTATGTAAAATTGTAACCAGTTGCATTTCTACCCACTCCCCCTACCTACATATGTATAAAACTGACTTCATTGATAAAACAATGTTTAATCTGAAAAAGTTACTTCTGAGGACAAAATGCATTGCTTAGGAGTTTCTCTTTTTTTTTTTTGTCATTCAATTAGCCACTAATTCAATTCAATTCATGTGATATCTGGATGTGTGTCTCATATGTGGGTGCATACATAAATTATATTTAAGCAACAAAAAAGTGTATGCAAAAATAATATTAATAGTAATATTAGCAGTTTCCCTATAAGAAAACATATGGCATTCATTGACTCTGCAGCCAATACTGTTTTCAGTTGAAATTTAGAAAATCTTTCTCTTAAAACACATTTTTAGGAAAACAGGTTTCTCAAGTCCAGTAGCTGCTATTGCTCTTTCTAGTATTGATGGTATTTTTCTTCCTAACCTTTTATTTGAAGTTGTGTGAAATCTTTATTATATCATTATTTTCTTTTTGAGTAACATGTGTTATCCATTTTAATTGTTGCTGCTGTTGGTAGTCCGCAAGTGGTGTTGCTTCTGTTATATGGTACAATTTTTTTTTTTTTTTTTTTTTTTTTGTGAATCTGTAGCACCAGTCTACAATGTTCAAAGAAGGATGATCTTTTTCCAAGTGCCTTGGTGTTTACTCGCTCAAAGCCTTTTCCATTATTGATTTTAGAAAGTGGTTGTATACAGCTGACAGTTTAGATATTTCTGAACTCGTTTTGTGCCATGCATGGCATCCATATGAAAGTCTCAGTCTGACAAGATTTTAAGAACATTCGAGATTCAAGTTTTCAGGTTGATGTTTTGGTTTTGTAGTAATTTGTGGTGTTAGGCAAAACTACCTCCAACACAACCTATTTTCTGTTCAATTTCCTTTTCTCTTGTACTTAATTTGTTATACCTGATTCATATGCCATGGTATCTGAAGTGTTTAGTATTTACTAATTCCACATCTTGATTGTGTAGTTTAATTCCATTTAGCCATTACACATAGTGTCACTTTGGCCTAATTTTATTTTCTACTACTTTAAAAAATGCCAGAATGTAGCCAACAAAGTCTTGCCTACCACATTGACAACACCCAGTTCTTGATAATGACTGAGACAATCAAAAGTACTTGAACAAAACAGAAAAAAACCATGAACTTTTAGACAGTTTATCTATAATTTTAATACCAATGTACATATCTATTTGGCCTTCATCAGATGTATATCAATCTGGGTAAATTACAGGGAATTCTGAAGTGGAGGCTTTATTTAATCTATGTGAGTAGATTGTTTTCATTCCACTGCCCATGTCTAGGGATATCTTGTCTAGTTCAGGCAAGCAATAATTGAGCAATACTAAAAAAAAAAAAAAAAAAAAAATAGACAAGATATTCTTAGACATTACTAGTGTAGTAGTGGAATGAGAACAGTCTACCTTTGTAGATTAAATAATGGGTTCAGTTCAGAATCTCCTGTAGGTTACCCAGATCAATATACACATGATGAAGGCCAGAGAGCACACCAGCTGGAACATTGTGCTGACAACAACAAAGATGAGGACAATAGTCTGAATGCAGATAGTGTAAATAATGATAACTCCTCTTCCCAGAAATTCAGACAGAAAAAGAAAATATGTCAGATTTTATGTGCATAATTTGTGCAAAAGAAATCCACTTTAAGATAGAAGTCATGGTCCAAATGCAAAATAATTAACACAACTGTCCAATAAACAGAATTAATAATATTTTCAATAGAAAGAAAGTGGGGCAAAAATTAAATGGTATCAGGCAAGCGAGCAAACAATATGAAAGTAAATTAAATTCCCAGGTAAGAAAGCAAAAAGATTAATGAACTATGAAGTAGCATCTACGCAGAAAAACTAGGTCAAATAAGTGAGATGAATGATCTTACATATAGACAAGGTAGATCTGGACTCAGCCAAGTTGTAAATTGACCTATTTTATTGACTAAGAAAAGTATCCCAGCATGCATTTTGTGTTTTTTTGCCTATAAAAGGGGAGGAGGAAAACGTTTGCAGTCATTCCATACAGATTGGAAATCAACACACTTACATTCAGAAAGGCTAAGGGTGCACGCCTGCTGATGCCATTGGCTCCATGATACAGTTGATGGATTAGTCCAGATGTGCTTCTTACAGGGTGGATGGAATAACCCTGATGTTCTAGCTATGGATTAGTGTACCTACCTTCAAACACATAAAGTCTGTGGCAATGAACAAGAGAGGTGAGGAATCTGACAAGGTGGAAGAATTGATTTACAGCTATTTGGACTTATGACTGTGAATAAGCTGAAACTCATGATGTATTTCTCATATTTCCTGAAAGTGAAAATTTTATCAACATTGATTGGTTAATACCAGTTTTATTGACTTGTATAATAAAATCTGACAGTGTAAAATTGTTTCTAAATCATTACTTTGCTTTTTATTGCTATGTTGCCGTTTAGTCATATGCATTTTTATTGTCTTTGTAGATGGCAATGAAACATTCCATAAAATTGCTGGTGCCCATTCCTGGAACAATAAGGACCAGAGAGCATATGGACTCTGCATCTCTTTGTATGATCAGCATCCAATTTATGGCAAGATGTCAGGTCAGTTGATTTGCCAAAATTTTCATTCATGTCTCTTTTGTTTTTTAGGTTGTCATGTTTTAAGCCTTTTTACAATAAAATTTTGTCATAAAATCATTTCTTTTCATTATGGTAAAACTCAAATTTCCAACCTCACATCATAATTTCATCTAATTAAACCTAAGATCTAAGAGTGAGACCTATCTAAGATGTTGGAAAGCCCATCAGTGAACTAAAACTAATTAAATATTTATTTAAATATATGAACTTCCAAACATCTTAGAAGGTTTTTGTTAAATGACTGGCTTCCCAACATAAAATTAAAACCTTTCTTAGATGCAATAAAGCCCATCACTTAACTAATACCTAAGATCTAAGAGTGAGACCTTTCTAAGATGTTTGGAATCTATGATGCTAACTGAATTTCAACCTTCCTATCATCATTACTTATTGACTTTTTGTTAATTTCTCTTTTACTTTTGTGATATCTTTCTATTATAATTCATAACTCACTATTGCTGAGCATTTAAGGTGTTGTTACATGGTTAGCAGTTGCCGTTTCAATTTAAGAGAACCTCATGTGTTGAACAAAAGCTAAGTGTTGAGTTGGTTGAGAAAATAAACAAGCAAAAGGGTGAAATAAAACAAGATAGGAATATTTATTCTATCAGGAACATTTTTCATGTAGAGAAGGTTTCAAGGAATGTGAAGAATCTCTGTAAAGAAAAAAGGAAAAGTTGAACTTACTCTATTTACACTATTTACATCATTCAGACTGTTGTCTTCATCTTTATTACCATATTCACAATGTTTCGGCCATTGAACTTTCCAACCTTCTTTAGGTGATATATGTTGGATACATGGCCCAGTGGATAAAAGTGGTGGTTAAGTAATCCAAAACATGACTTGACCCAAAGAATTGTGAGTTCAATACCTGGCCACAGCAGAGGGAACAAAAACTTAGAGTTAAGTTACTAAAGGGAATTAGATGATATACAAAAACAAAAAAAGTCATGGTACATGGAATTAAAACAATCTACCCCGGTGGACTAAATAAAAAGTTTGGTTCAAAATTCTTATGTACATCATCTAAAGAATGTACAACAGCCGAAATATCATGAATATGACAATAAAAATAAAGACAACAGTCCGAACGATGTAAATAGTTACAATATCTCATCTAAGAAATATAGACAGATATTGAACTTACTCTGCTGGTGAATTAGAAAGTGAGTGATGTGTATAATCTAATTCATGTTTGGTTACGACATGGAGTGCTACTTTAAGCATCCTATTTCAATATCAGCCTGCAGTGAATGAGAACTAGCCTGTGCAAATTCATAGCACACATGCTCCAAGTTTTTTTTTTTTTCTTTTTATGCATACACAAAATCTGAAAATGAATCATTGCTGCTGTTAGGGTTTTCAGTCCTGTGTCTAGTAAAAAAGGTTTTAACATCTGCTCCAAAGGTGGTGTTGTGGCAACAGAAATAAATAATTCTGGATTTCTTTCCTTTTATTTTTCATGTAATTTTCAGCCTAGCTTAGAACTGTTTACACAGCATGATCTGTGCTTACATAATATATAGGATTTGTTTATTTGGAATCATCTAACTAGTATACTGGGAAGGTAGTTCACCTAAGAGAAGGAAAACTCTGATTTTAAACCACCTCTGCCTTGCGGCCATACCCAATCATAGGAAAGGCTTTGGGAGTAAACCCTGAGGACAAATCCGGAGCTGAAGTCTCTAAGACAGTTTACAGAAATTCAAATTCCAAGTTGGTGTCTGGCATGAAATAATTCATTTCATGGCTTGAAAGAAGTCTTTAGCCATGGGTGGCAGTCTTTCTAGAGATGGTGCCTTGACAAAAACACCTGAATGTAGGGTTGGCTTCCCACATTTTGTATCAGCTACTGAAAGAACTAAGTCCCAACCAAACATAGGGAGGTTGAAAGACGATGATGATGATAGCACAAAATTGCTTGCCTTTTGGCTAAAAGAATATTATTTATTGTTAGATCAGAGAAATATATTTCTATTTAATTTATTAGACATTTAGTTTGAGCAGATATTAACCTATTCATAACAGATGTACATGAAACAAGAGAGTAGTCATTATTATATACCTTGGTATTCAAACCATCATGCTTATTTTGGTTGTTATACTCACAATGTTTCAGATGTTGTACTTTGGCCTTCTTCAGGTCTATATTTTTATAACTGGTAACCTTGGAATTTTGAACTGAACACTTTATTTAATCAACAGGGATTTTTCTCATTCTGCTTTTAATGCCTAAGGAAGATAATACATATCATATTTTGTATAACATTTATTGTGCATTCCTATGGTAATGGTGAAATTACCCAAAGACCAAACAGCATTCTCCTGAGTTGGACGATAAACTACATTCAACAGCAAGGCCTCTGATCAGGTTTTGAGGAGTGTGGAACCACCTCTTAATCGCTGGTGTTTCCAGGTTCACCCTGACCTAGGGTGGTAGCACTTGTTAGGGTCCCAGCTAAATTGTTGACACCCAAACTGGGATTAATACACTATGAAAGTGTAAAAATAGATTTTAATACCAGCAATAGATTTTTTTTTTTTGTAAAAGGTTATTACCAGCAATGAATTTTTGAAAAAAAATTATTACCAGCAATACATTTTTTAAAAAACATTACCAGCAATAAAAATCTTGTCAGCATTAAATAACCTATAGAGGTTGATATACTGTAAAACAAATCAAACCAAAAAACATAATTCAAAACTTTTCTTAAAACAGTTTTTCAGTAAAAATAGACTTGTCAAGTCCTTTGTAATTGTTCTTTCTAAAAATTGATTGGGGTTTCTTTTTAAACCATTTGTTTTTGGTAGTGTAGAAAGTCAACACTTTAATTATATAATGATTTTCCTTTCTCATTACATGTGCTGCCGATTATTGTTCTTGCTGTTAGAAGTCTTCAAGTGATGTGGTTTTTGATAATTTGATAAAGCTCTTTGTGATTCTGTAGCATATGATACTTTGTATCAATTAACACTTACCAGTCTTATTCACTTTTGTACAGGACCAGATTTAGATGAAGACAGGCCCTAGGCTATTCTACTTGTGAGGCTCCTCTAAATCCCCCATTCTCATGAGTAGAGGAAAATGGAAGAGTGTTAAATTAAACAATTTGAGTGAAGCCGAGGGTAATGACAGGTGTTTAAAATTACTGAACCTACAATTTAAATGAAGAGTGACCCTAGGCTATTCCATTTGTGAGGCCCCTCCAAATCCCCCATTCTTACAAGTAGAGGAAAATAGAAGTGTTAAATTAAACAATTTGAGTAAAACCGAGGATGATGATGGTTGTTTAAAATTACTGAAGGGTTATCTAGAGCCTACAACGTGTTATGACAGTATGTGTAAGAAAGGCCTATGACAATGTCAAAAATATTATACACCTTGGCTGGAGGCTTCCTAGATTTTGAGGCCCTAGACTTAAGTCTACTAAGTCTATAGGTAAATCCGGTACTGCTTTTTGTGTTGCTTGTCTGTTTCTTCCACAAGCAAAGTATGTGATGTGACTTTGTAGCATGATCAAGAAATAATTGGCCCAGTGGATTAAAGCCTTGCATAAAAGATATCTGATTCCCTGGCAGTTGTGTGTTCAATCCCTAGTTCTGAAAAGTCACATGCTATTTCAATGGAAGAAACGGACAAGAGACAAAAAAGTGAGTACAGTAGATGGGTATTAACTGATACGAGTTATCTCCCCTAATGCTCATCTTGGTTGTTATACTGGCAGTTGTCGGTTCAATCTCTGTGAATGACAGGGCTCTAAGTCTCATACTCTGGTTGAGAGAAAGAAGTGGACACACAACACAAAGGTAAATGAAACTGGTGGGTATTAACTGATATAAAATATTCCCAAAGCATGGAAAATAGATTGAGAACAATGTACCCAACCTACGTCATGGATAATATAAAGGTTTTGGTTTGAATTTCTTAGAAGGTTACTAAGCCTGAAGATGGCCAGAGATTACAGTGGTTGAAACATTTTGAATAACGCAATCAAGATGAGCATGCAAATAACAAAGCAGATCATAATGATTGTTCATCTCAAAAGAGAGTATTCATTTCTATTTAATCTTACTGATTTGCAGACAATATAGATATATATATATATATATATATATATATATATATATATATATATATATATATATATATATATATATATATATATATATATATATATATATATATTTTCAATGATTTGCTCCTGGGATCAATAGCAACAAAAATAGCAAATTAGATATACTTTATTTCAAATTATTGTTCTCATCTTGGCTTATATAGAGGTTATTATTATAAATACAACATTTCAAAAAAATACTCTCTGACCATTATCAGTTGTCAATTATATAGACCAGGGTTTCCCAAACTGACAATATTTCTCACAGGTGGGTAATTTCAACTGTTTTTGGGCAATTGAACAGAAAATGGTGGGCGACTGTAAATTTTGGTGGGCAATATAGGGTTTAAGTATTTAAAAAAATCTTTCAACCTAATGTACCTGAAAAAATATTCAAAGGAGATATACAAAAAATTGAAGAAAAAAAAACATAGGAGACTAAATGGGAATATGTGGGTCACATTCCTCAATAAGATATAAATATCCCCACAAACAAGGAATATTTTGATATTTTCTATACTTTTGAGAACAGTCATTACTTGTCTATATCTCTTAAGATGAGGTATTATGATTACTTGCATTATTTACATTATTCAGACTGTTATCCTCATCTTCATTGTCATATTCACAACATTTCGGGGTCTATATCTCTGAGACAAGGTATTATGATTACTTACATTATTCAGGCTGTTATCCTCATCTTCATTGCCATATTCACAACATTTTGACCTTTGTATGCTCCAGCATTCTTCAGGTGATTGGAATTTCGAACCCTTTATTTGGTCGACCAGGGTAGATTGTTCTAGTTCCACATACCATGACTCTTCAAGATGTCTCAGTTATTTCCCTTTAATTCATCTCTCCAAGTTTTGTTTCACCACTGCTGTGGCCTGGTAATGAACTCACAACTATGGCAATGAAGATGAGAATAGCAGTCCAAATAATGCAAGTAACAGTCATTATCATTCAAATAGTTCTTCAGATGAAAATTTTTTTTTTTTTTTTTTTTTTTTTAAACATATAAATTAGTTAGATAAGGGAAGAACAAAAAAAAATATTTGCTGATTTTTTTATTCGTTGCTAGTAATATATACTCTTTTTAATTTTATAGTTATGAACAAAAATCATTTAATTTTTTGTCATCACTTTCAATGCTAGCCATAAAACTAAATTATATATATAGTTTTCAATGGTCAAGTTTACTTTCATTTATTCTTTAATTTCAATAGCAACAGAGGCCGAATAAGTCAGCGTTATTTGTTATGCCTCTTTGGTATTTTTTACTACATCATCAAATCAGTTTATGAACCAGTAACAAAGAGCCTATAATTAATATCAGTTGAGACAGTTGAGATTTCTAGGGCACATAATTAGGAAAGAGGGTTTGGAAAATCTGATACTCACAGGGCATTTTGAAGGCAAGAGGGACAGAGGAAAACAATGTATAATACAACATTTTAGTAAGCTTGAGTAAATTGATATCAGAACAGGGATTAGGACATAACAAAAAGACAAAATTTATTAAGAGCTACAAAGGACAGGAAATTGTGGAGAGCCATGATCACCTAAGTCCTGAAGGGAAACAGCAAATAGAAGAACAACAAGCTTTTACCAAACAATATTGCTATGCTTTTGAATATTTCTTATATAGGTGGGTGGTTGAAAATTTTTCCATTTTAAAATGGGCAATAACACAAAAAAGGTTGGGATTCCTTGGTTTAGACTAATGACTATTGTATTGTCTTGTCACTGTGATGCCAGTTATTGTTTGATCCTGCTGAAGAATTGTTTCACTACCTTCTCCAGGATTGAACTGATGACAGATAACAGTAACCAACTTCTATATCAACTACATCACCATCCCAAAGGACATCAGTGGTGTATATTTGGAGCCTTTATTATTAATGTTGGATAGTTTTGACATTTAGTTATCATGGCTGTTTTACAACACTTTTTGATAATTTTGCTGTTCATTTCTGAGATGAGTAATTGTCAATATACTTGAAACTTTTTAAAACTATTAAACTATTGTTCTCATCTTGATGGTTATAGATTTGTTATAGAGACAGCATTTTGGCCAAGTACCCTCTGGTCATCATCAGGTGTCCAGTGTTTTAAGATAATTAGTAGTTTATAATAATAACTTGCTATATTTTTTATCCTCTTGTTTACAAATGCATTGGAGATGAAGAGAAAAGTTTTGTTTTCTATCAAAATAGAATAGCATTGTTAAATTTTGTTATATATATTCACTGCCTGTCATGGGATTAAAGTCTACAGGTATGTTACCTCATTTATTTCAGCAAATTTTTTACTTAAATGATTTTGATAATGATTAAAATAATTGTATCACATTTTTATTTGTATTTTTATATAATCAACTAATTATATACAAATTTCTGTTTACTCTGAATCTTTTTGATGAAGCATTTTCCTTATTGATTTTTTTTTTTTTTTTGATCTTCATATTTTTTTTTTTTTTTTTTTTTTTTTTTAAATGATTTATTATATTGCATGCTCAGGTCGTGTTCAAATTGTATGATTAAGTAACATGAATAAGAAACAAAAAACAAAAAAAAGAAAAGATATCTAATATGATTTGAACTTTTATATCCTTTTCTTAAGAGTATGACAAAGACAGCATTTTACCAGTGGATAAAAATAAAAGCAAAAAAAAATAAGGCTTTTGATAACTTCTGAACATGTATATCCTATTCCTGAGAGTCTGTCTGATAAAGACAGGACTTTACCAGTAGATTAAAAAAAGAAAAAAAAATTATCTCTTTTTTTTTTTAAATTTACTACCCTTCACTCCACTCCTGCATAGAATTCGATTTATAATTCTTTGTTACAATGATTCAGAAATCTGTTTTGAATTTCAGGTGATCCGATTGCCGATGCCTTTGCAATATGTTGCCGAAAAAACAATGCTGTGATGCTTATTGCAGACGGAGTAAACTGGGGTGAAAAATCACGCTTGGCTGCTCGTTGTGCACTTTATGGCAGCATGGAATACATTAACCGGCAGTTGTTTACCGAGAAACAACAACCGGCCAACACCCAGGTAAAAGGAACACTGTGACATTAAATGTGGACAGCACTTGCAATTCTCACCCTAGTGTGCACAGAATGAAGCCCAGGATTTCATAGAAGGCACCTTTTTTACTTTGTAGCAAATTAGTTTGTTGTATTAACTATGTTTACTGCTACACTATGCACATGTGCACTATATATAGCTATGACATCATAGTTTCTTTTATTTTGTTTTTTCAATGTTTTTTTTTTCTTTAACTACTAGAGCTGACTTTTTTCCCATTTTTATTTTAAATGACTATGATACTGAAATGGGGGGATACTAGTGCTATGGATGTATGATAGTGTTATCCTTTATAGTTTTAATATAGATTTACTTTTATTTATGAATTAAAGCATGAGTAGTCTTATATATCAATTTCTAATGGTAACTAACAACAATATAGATTGTATTATGTAAGTGCTCAAATATCTAAGGTAGCAGTAAATGGGTTAAAACAGGTATACTGCCATACAACATGTGCACTATCAATATGGAATCATAGCTTTTTTTAATGTTGTTTTTTTTATTGATTTTTTGTTTATTTTTTTTTTTTTGTTTTTTTTTTTTTTTTGTTTGATTTTTTTTTTTTACTTGAATTTATAGAGCTGTCTTTTTGTTTATAAAAATATGACCATGATACACAAATAGAAAAAAAATTCAATGTTGATGTTGTACATAATTTTAATTCTTAATAGTTTCAATGTAAAGTAGCAGAACTCATGTAATTTACACAGACTTGCTAATAAATATTTTAATGTTGCCCTCTGTACTTTTCAACCCATGACCACTCCTACAAAACTGACATAATCTCTCTTAAAAATACTGAAATACCCTCAACTGACCCTTAGGTCAGGAAACATAATTTAACCCCCTCATTACAAATAACTGCCTTTATCTAAGATGACATCCCCCACCTCTAACCCCTCTCTGTGATATACTCTCTTTTTGTCTCTCTACCTCCATCTCTGTTTTACTCTCTATATGCCTCTCTCTTTCTGTTTCCCTCTCCTTATCTGTGATACCAAAACATGATACATACCATTCATAGGTACAGTTGTGTGTGTGTGTGTGTGTATATATATATATATATATATATATATATATATATGTATATATTTAATTTTATTTACCAAAATAAAGTATAAGTAGTCTTAGCGATTTCTTATGGCTGTTCGCAAAAAATAGTTGACATTATGTAATGTTTCAGGTATCCAAGGTATGAATGAATGCATCAATAAACTTAGACTTTATTTTGGTAAATAAAATTATGTAGTCATGAATATCAATTTCTGATGATGACTAAATGTTGTAATGGAATGCCCCACACTCCCTATCACCTATGTGGACCGACTACATTAGTAGCTATATATAGTGAGCACAGGAGGGGGAGGGGGGCTTGCTTTGAGAAATACTAGCCTGCTACCTGATTCCCTGTCTTTCAGTAGTGTATTCTCTTTTAAAATAATCCTCTCTTTCTTTCATCTACGTACATGTTACTGTTTCTTCATTCGAGTACCATCTTTGTCTGTTTATAACCTCTTTAAGGATACAACACTAACTAAAACCCTGATGGCATTATGTAAGGGTTCAAATATTTAAGTTAAGTTATTTTTGAACCATTAATTTTGTGGGAAAGGAATGGAATTATGTCCGGTTCACTTGTCATATTGCCATAAAACAACTACAATAATAAAAAAAATATAACTCGTAAGTGAATGTAATAGATCCCAGTCGAATCCATTACATTCACTTACATGGGAAAGGTATGAATTCTCTTCTTCTCCCTAGCTATGGGTAAATAGCAGGACAGACCAGGTTCTATAGCCTTGGATGGCAACTGGTCTACTGCAGAAAGAAATGACAACCTACTTCAGGAAAAAAAATCTGCTTTGTCAGTCATGTATCGAAAGATACATGATTGCCTAAGCATGTATCACACATGACACATAACTGACTGACTGAATGGTGAAAACTGATCTTTTAATAGCTTAGTAAAATTTGTTTGAAATTGAATTGTAACATTATTAACTTTCTGCTGTGATTTCAAAAGCTCATAAAATACCTGCTTAAAAAGAGAAATTTCTTTGCTTCAAACACAAGGATTTTGCTAATATGGCATTTACATTAAAAGAAACAAAATTAATAGCAAGTAATGTAAATAAAACATTTGTATTTACTTCCTTAAATAGATGCAGGCAACATAATGGTTAACTGCAAAAGAAATGGAACTGGTTAAAAAAAAAAAAAAATAATAAAAGGTTCAAAATCTTGGTGGAACAGTTTACATTTGTTAATTTTGTAATATTGTCCTTATAAAATTACAAATTCACTTCTCCCAACACCAGCTGTGAGTAATTAGCTAGGGAGTTAATCCTTCATCCTTGTAAAAGGCAAACCCTAATGGACATTTAGTAATGGTAATGGTGAAATTAGCTGTTTTCATACAGGAAACATGCGGTATTCATTGACCGAACATTTAATATTGGTTGGAATTTCTAAAATAATTTTCATAAAACTTTTCAGGAAATCAGACCTTTTAAGTCCATTGACTGTTATAGCTCTTTCTAATATAAATTCATATAGAAAATTCATTTACAGTATATTCTTATAGTAAACTAATCTGTATTGTATTTTTATACTAAAATTATTTACAAGTCATTCTTTTATTAAAGTCATTTACAATGCATTCCTATGGTAATGGTGAATTTAGCCATTTCCTTACAGGAAACATTAAGTATTCATTGACTGAAGATTTATTGTTTGAGAAATCTTATTAAAGTAAAAATTGTGCTCTTTGGCAGGAATCTTCCAAAAAAGCACAAATTTTTCTTTAATAACATTCAGGCTGGTAGGCGAAAATATACTGCTTAATATATAAACAGAGCAGCTACTCAAATACAAGGATGCAATAATAATGTTTCAAGTGATAAAACATCTGTCGGTTTAATAAAAATTAATTCTGAAATTCTCTTTGTTTACATTTGGGTATGAAACTGTATGCAGATATAAAGAACTTCAAGAGATCTATGACGGGAGAAATTTCGCTTGAAATGCATGAAATTGTCATTGGCTGACCATCTGCTTCTTCATGGCCAAGCGGTAAGGCACACCAGGCTAAATATTTGGTCAGGTGTGCCTGCTATTCATCTTGAGGTTCTTGACAAAATCTAAAGAAGGATCTGCAATGTAATCAATCCTGATTTGGCATCTCGACTTCAGCCACTTTCTCACTGACATGTTTTGGCTTCCCTCTGTCTTTTCTACAAGTATTTTCATGGGAACTTCTCTGACAAGCTTTTTTTTCCCCCTGGTACCTGGACTACATGTTTAAATGTACTACTAGGTTGGCATTTAGGTCCCACCTTTTTACCATTGAATTAGGTAAATGTAATTGCCACTTCTACTTCAACAGTTTCTTTTCTTGCACTTTCTATTTGTGGAACTCCCTTCTGTTTCCTTGCTTCCCTGATAACTACAATCATCAAAAATTTAAATGCAGCATCAGTCATCATCTTTTATCCTTTCGTTGGTCCCCTCTATCTCTAATCTTTTCTTTCTCCTTCACTCTCTGCAACCTCCTGCATACTAGTGGCATTCTTGCCTTGCTTGAGGTGAAATGGTTAAAAAAAAATAATTATAAAATATCAAATAATATATATAAATCATCTTTGGGAAAAACAGGTAGGATAATGACCATTTTTACCATTTCAAGCAATACTGAAGGGATTTTCTTATTGGTTGGGAGGTATCTGCCAATGAAGAGAGACTGAAAACTCGGCAGCACCAAAACCAAATACTGCATCCCAATGAGCAGAGTATGGACACGACTTCCACATGGGAACATGACACATGTGAGACGAACACAGCTGAGACACCAGAAACATAAACAAGGATGAATGAATTTGAAATGACACTGGGTAACATGAACAGAAATCCTTGGTAACATATGGCAATCCCATCAACATGTACACTGCCTGACTCTGCCCCTTTCTGTAAAATGTACTTGCTTTTAGGGAGCCTAAAAGCTTAGCAGTTGGCTAGCAAAAAGAATCATTTGCATAGCTAGCACCACTCAGCTCATCATCCTGATTATTTCCTTGGGAATCTAGTAGGCATTTTCTTCATAACCAGATGTCCCAGGGTTCGGACAGGCTCTCTTCTGGCAGGGCAGCCATTTACCTTCTTTATGCAGAGATGCCTCAATGTCTCTTTGACCAACAAGGGTGGGTACCATTATCAGTAGCATCAAGCAGCTTTGTTTCTGCTGCAAATACCCTGCAGTTTGTGTAGGAACTGTTGTTGAAATATTCAAAATTTAACAAACTACAGTGGGACTGTTCTCGTTTCTCTGCCCGTCTCTAGCGATATCTCATCTACTTCTTATTTTTAATACTGTTCAGTTATTGCTTGCCTTGTTTCCACTCAATCCAAGTACACACTGCCCGGCCCAGGGATTGAACTGACTATGCCACCAAATTCTTGAACCAACAATTTAATCCACTAGTAATTATAATTGATCATATTGCAGGGATGTCTCATCTTGTTCTTTTTAGAACTGCTCAGTATTTGCCATTCCTGTTTGAGTCTGTACTACCCAACCTAGGGATTGAACTCACTATGACTGTCACCAAATTTACAAACCAACACTTTAATCTTTAAATATTGGATTAATACGTTGGTTTGTACTAAAAGTATTGTGCTACAAGACAATAGCCTAGTGGATATGACTTATGACTATGAATAAATGCCAACACTGTGATTATAATTGTGACTATGACTAATTACCAACAATTTTAATATGATTTGTAACTATGACTAAGTAGCAACATTGGCCTATTACTGGTAACTATGACTAATTACCAATCCTGTGATACTGTGACTATTACTAATTACCAACCCTGATATTAATTGTGACTATGACTAATTACCAACACTGTGATATAAATTGTGACTATCACTAATTACCAACGCTGCAATATTAATGGTGA